AATAGCACAGGGAAATATACACAAAATGTTATGATAAATCACAGAGAAAAAATGTGACAGTGAGTGTGTATATGTCCATGAATGACTGAAAGATTGTGCTGAACACTGGAATTTGACACAACATTGTAAAATGATTATATATCAATAAAAAATGTTTAAAAAAATATTGTTACTAAATTAGTGTTTAGTGTATACAGTCTTAATGTTACAAGTTGAAAAAATTAAAGAGATTTGTTACACAATGTGAATACACTTAACACTACTGAATTATACACTCAAAAATAGTTAAGACGTTAAATTTAGTGTTATGTTTTTCTTTTACTTCAATAAAATTCTTTTAAAATATTGTAAAAAAAATGAGCAAAGAACCTAAATTGACACTTCTACAAAAGATGTATACAAATGGCCAACAATTACATGAAAAAGCATTAATAAAATCAATCCATTGTTTTCACAATTTTCATAATATAAAACATCCTAGGGATTTGGAGTGAATACATCACTGGTCCAATAAAATCTAATTTTTAGATATTTAATATTGTAGTTTCTGGTACCCTTTTTTTTCTTCTCTTTTTTTAAAGCAACTTGTGCAAAATTATCCCATTTATAGGTTCATTTGTCCAAATGCATAATGATCAATAATCTATACTTGCCCAAAAAGTATGCCTTGTCTTATCTCTGTTTATAGGAAAACAGTTATTTATACTGTTTCCTCTAATTCTTCACCTTTTATATCTTTATTTTTTATTAAATATGTAATACATAAATCCACTCTAATCAGGAAAAAATCAACTGATACAGAAATAGAGAAAAACATGAAAGTTACCTTCACTATCCATATTTATATTTTTATGGCTTGTGGTATTTAGATTATTCATTGTAGTACGTAGACTATCCTAACAACTCTTTTACGCATTATTGACACACTCTTCCACAAATGATTCATTTCTGTTAATCGAAGATCTAAGGCAACCTAATAGTAACAATAAAATGCAAATTTAACAAATTGAAAAGATAAAATGCAAATGCTGGAAAATATACTAAGCAAGAG